GATGGCATAATCCCCAACAAGGGATATGTTGGATGAGCAGGCATCCAGTAGCACCAGTAGAAAGTAAAAAACCAAAAGGGATATGGAAAAAGGCAATAACTTTTATTAATACAAAGTATAAAATCTGTATATTAACCCCTTAAGGACGGAGCCAAATGTACACGTTGTGAACGAAACAAAATGTAAACAAAACCTGGCATTTGCGCTACATGTCTGTCCAACCGTAATTCACCTCTTTCATAGTAAATGCACCCACCCTTATTATATATCATTTTATTCAGGGGAAACAGGGCTTTCATTTAATAATTCAATTATTTAACTATGAAACATAATTTAATATGAAAAAAATGGGAGAAAATAAGATTTTTTTTGATTTTTTTTGGTTGTACATGACATTTTAACTGTCAATGTCATAATACGGTTTGCTTTTACTGCAATAAAATACACATATTTGTATTCAGCAAAGTCTCACGTGTAAAACAGTACCCCCTATGTACAGGTTTTATGGCGTTTTGGGAAGCTACAGGGTCAAATATAGCACGTTACATTTGAAATTGAAATTCGCCAGATTGGTTACGTTGCCTTTGAGACTGTATAGTAGCCCGGGAATGAAATTTACACCCATAATGGCATACTATTTGCAATAGTAGACAACCCAAGGTATTGCAAATGGGGTATGTCCAGTCTTTTTTAGTAGCCATTTGGTCACAAACACTGGCCAAAGTTAGCATTAGTATTTGTTTGTGTGTGAAAAATGCAAAAAACGCCAATTTTGGCCAGTGTTTGTGACTAAGTGGCTACTAAAAAAGACTGGACATACCCCATTTACAATACCCTGGGTTGTCTACTATTGCAAATGGTATGGCATCATAGGGGTAATTTTCATTCTTGGGTTACCATAGGGTCTCAAAGGCACCGTAACCAATCTGGCGAATTTTAATCTGAAAAAAATGAAACGCAAGCCTTATATTTGACGCTGTAACTTTTGAAAACACCATAAAACCTGTACATGAGGTGTACTGTTGTACTAGGGAAACTTCGCTGAACACAAATATTTGTGTTTCAAAACAGTAAAAAGTATCACAGCAATAATATCGCCCGTGTAACTGCTGTTTGTGCATGAAAAATGCAAAAAATTTCACTTTTACTGGCGATATCATCATTGTAATACATTTTACTGTTTTGAAACACTAATATTTGTGTTCAGCGACGTCTCCCGAGTAGAACAGTACCCCCCATGTACAGGTTTTATGGTGTCTTGGAAAGTTATAGGGTTAAATACAGTGCTAGCAAATTAAATTCCCTTCACTTTCGGCATGGGTTGTCAGGCAGGTCCCGCTAATTGTAATTAATTAAGATACCTAATTATGTAAAAATATTACATAAATATATATGTAGAATTAATATATATATATATATATATATATATATATATATATAAATGGAACAAATTGAGAGCACTCATTGGATTTAGTAAACAAAAAAATATATTAAATCAAACGCATATAAATCAACGTTTCGACCGTCTAGTGGTCTTTATCAAGATGCTATGACATGTGAAAATCTCAAATATATACAATCTCATGTGTTAAACTTACCCAATCACCAAGTGCACCCTGTTTGTCCGGTCTGCTCTGTGAATAGAGCCGCAAACCGAGGACTGTCAAGCATACTGCCGAAAAGTGACATAAAGCACAGCCACCAAGTGTTGCCTAGAAACGGCAAAGTTGTTTTAAAAAAGAAAAAAAATCGGAGTAAAATTAAAAGCATGTATGGAGGAAAAAGAAATAAAGTCTGATTACATGGTCTTAAATGTATATGAGTGTGGAATGTTAAAGACAGCAGTATGAATGAAAATGGGTTAGCCAAAGGTTAATCAGAACAGGTTAATGTGTGTATGCATGCTGAATAAAGAGACGAGAAAAAAAATTAAAAAAAAATTAGACAAATGAAAAAAAGCTCAGTGAATGTGTGGAGCATTGCAAAGAAGTCAAATGTGTGAGATGTACGATAGTGTATGAAATGGAAAAAAGAAGAACTGTATCAAAAAGTCTATGTGATCTGAATGGACTAAATATGTAACAAGAATAAAAAATGTGTGCTGCTGGAGATGTATGTGAAACGGACAAATGAAATGTGTAGTGAACTGACAAGAGAGTAGTAAGCTAAGGTAAAGATGGTCTACAAAATGCTATGTGAACAGAATGAGGAAAATATTATACAATGTGTAACCAGTGTAACGAAAACCAAATGTGACTCAACAAACTAATATGTGTAAATATGCTTGATCATGAAGACCCGTAGTGGAAAGACTATGTGTTGTGAGGTAGCAAAATGTACTGGTCTAAGACAGGTATAGTGTGTTGTGAAAGCTAAAAACTGTAGCTATAATACATATGAAATATGAAAAATAAAAATACAACGAAAAATTATAATGTATGCAGGTGAAAAAAGGATGTAATGAATAAATAAGCACGTGATAGTAAATGATGTAGGTCCAGAATGACCTAAATGATCTAATAAGCAGAACAAAAAAAGGTGATTGTGACAACACAAGTGTCATGTTAACATGCAGTGTGAAACCAAAGTGAAGATGACGTAAAATGAACCAGACTGCTGCCAAAATCACAAACCACCGCCTCAATATAAACGAATATGGAATCACAATCTATAGACACAAATAAAGATTGTATCCAAATTATACACGACCATCATGCGAGCTAACATCCCGTGAGTGAATCTAATTCATCTAGAAACTATGAGTCCCACAGTATACATTATCAGCGAATGTTCAAAAAACAGCCAATGGAATTATATTCATTAAGTCCTTTCGGTTGAACTGTGTCCAAATGTTTAATCCAGAAAGTCTCTCTCTGTAATAATAGCTTCGATCTATCGCCCCCTCTGATCAGCGGTGGAATATGATCTATCACAATAAATTTCAAGGTGGGTAAGTGATGTTGAAGTTCAAGGAAATGCTTCGCCACAGGCTTATCGGTTTTTCCATCCCGATATGCTGTCATGATTCCTGATCTGTGGCCTCGGATACGATCTCTCACTGTTAAATCCGTCTTTCCTACATAATATTTGCCACAAGGGCATGAAATGAGATACACCACATGATCACTCATACAGGTTAGACGATGTTTTATCTGGATTCTTTTACCTGTATGTGGGTGTGCGAAAGAGGATCCTGTCAGCATGTGCCCACAGGTGACACAACCTGAGCACTTGAAACAACCTTTCTTTACATTGTGTGTCTGGAAATTATAACAACTAGGAGTGTCAGTTTTTACCAAGATGTCCTTCAAATTTCTATTGCGTGAAAATGCAATTCGTGGTTTTTGTGAAAAGACCTGATTAAGTGTCCTATCTGCAGAAAGGATATCCCATCTTTTTTTGATCCTTTGAGAAAACCTCTGGCTTTCTGAATGAAATAATAAAGGAATCGTGATCTTTGGGATACTTTGTAACTGCTTAGTTGATGTTCCTTTAAAAATATTTTCAGCCTTTAGCCGGCAACTCTGTAACACGTTGTGTTTGTATCCCCGTTCCAAAAAAGATCTGGTCATATCTTCTAGTTGAATCCTGCAGGTATTGTCATCTGAGTTATTTCTAAATACCCTGAGATATTGAGAGATGGGTAATGAATCTTTCAAGGCCTTAGGATGAAAACTGTTCGCATGCAAAAGTGTATTGCGATCCGATGGCTTTCTGTATAACCGATATCCAATGTTCGGGCCATTCCGGTATATCTCAACATCCAAAAACTGGATTTTGTCTGTACTATAAGTCAGACTTAGTTTGATAGTGGAATCCAGATTATTCAATTCATCAATCATGGTCTCCAGTTCTACTACCGTGCCTTTCCACAATATGAAAATGTCGTCCACAAACCTGTGATACTGTATCAAGTGTTTCTTGTATTTAGGTAAAATATGCATATTTTCATATGCGTACATGAAACTATTGGCATATGTTGGAGCTATTGCAGATCCCATCGCTGTCCCCGTCTCTTGAATATAAAAACTTTTTTCAAAACAAAAATAATTATTGGACAGTGTGAGTTGTAGACCTTCCAACAAAAATTCAATGGGAGGTCCTTCATAGACGTCTGACTGTGAAAGAAGTGTTCGCATTGCTTCTATGCCCATGGCATGTGGGATCACAGTATACAAATTCTTGACATCTGCTGTAGCAAAAATATACTGGGTGTCGATTGGCTCACAATTTGTTAAGGAAATCTTGAGTGTCCCTTAAACATGTGTGTAATCTGATAACTGTAGGTTTGCAGAAGAAATCTACATATTTGGCTACCGGTTCTAACAATCCTCCACGAGCGGATACAATCGGTCTCCCAGGTGGCTTTTTTGCATCCTTGTGTATCTTAGGTAGTGTACATAAGATCGGGATTTTGGGGTGTGTGTTGAGTAGAAATTCCGCTGTACTGTAATCCAGCCACTTCGCTGTTAATCCTAATTTTATCCACTCCTGTATTTTACTACTGATCTTAGTCGTGGGATCAAATGTTAATTTTCTGTATGTCTTGGTGTCAGACAATTGTGTAAGAATTTCTTGCTTGTAATCTGTATAATCTTGCAAGACAATCGCTCCCCCTTTATCCGCCGCTCGAATTACAAGTTGATCATCACCACTTAGATCTTTAAGGGCGATCCTCTCAACCTGGGTTAAGTTGTCTGGTTTCTTCTGTTGTTGAGTAAGTATTGCATCCATATCTGTTTTCAAGATGGTGGAAAATGTTTTGATAGAATGATGTGTATTTTTGGGTTCCCATGTACTCTTCAATTTGAATTGTGAAGCCGGTCTTGGTGTCGCTGTGTTATGTAAAGCTTGCATGCTCAGAGTTCTATTCATCTTGAAAAGTTCAATGTCAATTTTGAATTCATCTGGTTTAGAGGCAGGAACAAATGTGAGTCCTTTGGATAGAACTTGATTGTGAGCACTTGTCAGGATTTTGGATGATAAATTAAAAATGGGATTCATTTCCTCTTGGTTGGTGGTTTTGACCTTGTATTTATAAATCTTGTTCCTTTGTCCTCTTCTAATGACTCTGCATCTTTTGAACCTCGTCTTGGGCGTGTAAATTTGCCAGGGGGGTCGTTTGTATGTTGTTCCATCCCTAAAAAAGTCGAGGATTGTGATTGCAATGTGTCTCTTGTGGAACCTCTATGGCCCGTCATGGTTCTGATGTCTGTTTCAGAGGTGGAATCTGCTGAACTCGTGTCAATAGACAAAAATTGTGGTTTGCGCACTCGTTGTCTATTTCGTTGAAATGGTGGTCTACGTCGTTCTCCACTGATCCAGTGGTACACCTGATGGTGTGTGTAATCAAAATTAACCTTTTCCACCTTTTGTTTTATAAATCGTATAAGATCATTTCTGTAGCGCATGATTTCATCCTGTAATTTAACCATATATTGAGAGGATGTAGCTGCATTTAAAGTGGTCACATGAGACATTTCAAACTTGTTGATGGATTCTTTGGTGAAAACCAATTCGTTTTTCACCTCCTCCACTACTATTATCATCCAATCAAGTGAATATTTTCGTATGGGGGTTGCATCACTATCATTTTCCTCATTCTGTTCACATAGCATTTTGTAGACCATCTTTACCTCAGCTTACTACTCTCTTGTCAGTTCACTACACATTTCATTTGTCCATTTCACATACATCTCCAGCAGCACACATTTTTTATTCTTGTTACATATTTAGTCCATTCAGATCACATAGACTTTTTGATACAGTTCTTCTTTTTTCCATTTCATACACTATCGTACATCTCACACATTTGACTTCTTTGCAATGCTCCACACATTCACTGAGCTTTTTTTCATTTGTCTAATTTTTTTTTTTTTTTCTCGTCTCTTTATTCAGCATGCATACACACATTAACCTGTTCTGGTTGACCTTTGGCTAACCCATTTTCATTCATACTGCTGTCTTTAACATTCCACACTCATATACATTTAAGACCATGTAATCAGACTTTATTTCTTTTTCCTCCATACATGCTTTTAATTTTACTCCGATTTTTTTCTTTTTTAAAACAACTTTGCCGTTTCTAGGCAACACTTGGTGGCTGTGCTTTATGTCACTTTTCGGCAGTATGCTTGACAGTCCTCGGTTTGCGGCTCTATTCACAGAGCAGACCGGACAAACAGGGTGCACTTGGTGATTGGGTAAGTTTAACACATTAGATTGTATATATTTGAGATTTTCACATGTCATAGCATCTTGATAAAGACCGCTAGACGGTCGAAACGTTGATTTATATGCGTTTGATTTAATATATTTTTTGTTTACTAAATCCAATGAGTGCTCTCAATTTGTTCCATTTGTATATTTTGCACAGAGAGGCACCTGGTCATTGCTGAATTAATGCTTTTGCTATGGGATGAGTGCCAGAAACTATTGTGATTTATATATATATATATATATATATATATATATATATATATATATATACACGTATGTGAATCTATATGTGTATATATATATATATATATATATAATTTTTAAAAAATATTTTTATTTATATATAGGTATATATATAGTGATATATACGTATATATTTATGTATGTAGATATATATATATTATTTCGTTCTACGTGTATTTTGATATAAATATATATATATATATATATTAATATCACAATACAGTTAGAATGAAATAACACACATCTATATATTTTTTAATTATTTTTTTCAATTATTTTTTTAATTTTATTTTTTAACGTATTTACATATTCAACTTTTTTATATTATATATACATATATATAACAATAATTATATATATTTAATCAGTATCAGTCTACGTGTAATTTGATATTAATATATATAATTATATATATATATATATATATATATATATATATATATTAATAGTAAAATACACCTAGACAGTGTATGAGTGTGTATGTATATGTGTATATATATATATACTTAGATCATATATATATATAATATATATGATCTAAGTATATATATATTTTTTTTTTACACTTTACTTTTTAATTTATTTTATTTTATTTTATTTTCAGCCAGCAGGGGGACCACCTGTCAATACAGGCAGCCCCCCTGCTGACAATGCAGGAGGCAGCTACCCCCGGCCATGTGATTGTGGGGTCCTCGCAAGGACCTCACTCTCACATCGCCGGGGCGGCTTCCAGGGGGTCGGACGTGCCGCGGGGGGCTCCCTGGGAGTCCCCCCCACTGCGATCGCCGGCGTTGGATCGCCGGCGACCGGGTAAGTAAAGAAAGACTGGAGGGCGTACAATTACGCCCGGCGGCGTTTAGAGCCGCCTAAAATAGGGCGTAATTGTATGCCCTCCGGTCTTAAGGGGTTAAAAAGGAGCTTCTAGTCCCTACGTCACGTGTTTCGCCCCTGGTTTGGGCTTCTTCAGAAGTATTAGTCCATCTGGGAACCAACCCAACTTTTATAGGCAGTCTTAATATCTCAATACTCATCCGGTGTATTGTTCCGTTTTCTGCTTCCTCTGGGGTCACATGCGTCGCCCGGAACTGGGTGTGGTAAGCCAACTATTTCCAGGTACAGAAAATATCCCCATTCACAACAACAGCAAAAATACACAAAAATACATAACTCCTATCATACTGAACAGAACTCCAACGTTCAACCTATCCCCAGATGGCTTGGATCTGAGCGCTCAATATATCCAAATAGCGCTCAGATCCCACAAACAGTCAAATTGCCATACACAATAGGTCCATAGTAATGGGGCAGAAGGCTGACAATTAGGCTTCTCCATAACACAGGGAAGCAGGGCAATTTGTCAAATAAAATAACAGTTACAAATGGCAGTTTGTAACAATATTAAATTCAAGGAAGCACTCCACAAATGTAATCCCTTGATTGACACTCTTCAGCATCTCAAGGCACTCCATATGTGGCTCAGTTGTCTTCTCAATGTGCAGGCACAATGCACTATAATCCTCACTCGCAGTACACTCATGACAGTCAAAGGACAAAGAAATTGCCTAAAAGCGATACCACTAACAGGGAACTTAATAAAGGACAAGGGGGGCGGACAGGGAGGGAGGGGAGAGAGAGGGAGAAGCACATGATTTTTCTACTGCATGTTTCATAGAAACATAGAAAAATAGAATGTGATGGCAGATAAGGCCCATCTAGTCTGCCCAATTTTCTAAATACTTTCATTAGTCCCTAGTCTTATCTTATAGTTAGGATAGCCTTATGCCTATCCCACGCATGCTTAAACTCCTTTACTGTGTTAACCTCTATCACTTCAGCTGAAAGGCTATTCCATGCATCCACTACCCTCTCAGTAAAGTAATACTTCCTGAGATTATTTTTAAACCTTTGTCCCTCTAATTTAAGACTATGTCCTCTTGTTGTGGTAGTTTTTCTTCTTTTAAATATAGTCTCCTCCTTTACTGTGTTGATTCCCTTTATATATTTAAATGTTTCTATCATATCCCCCCTGTCTCGTCTTTCCTCCAAGCTATACATGTTAAGATCCTTTAACCTTTCCTGGTAAGTTTTATCCCGCAATCCATGAACCAGTTTAGTAGCCCTTCTCTGAACCCTCTCTAAGGTATCAATATCCTTCTGAAGATACGGTCTCCAGTACTGTGTACAATACTCCAAGTGAGGTCTCACCAGTGTTCTGTATAATGGCATGAGCACTTCCCTCTTTCTACTGCTAATACCTCTCCCTATACAACCAAGCATTCTGCTAGCATTTCCTGCTGCTCTATTACATTGTCTGCCTACCTTTAAGTCATCAGAAATAATCACCCCTAAATCCCTTTCCTCATATGTTGAGGTTAGGACTCTATCAAATATTCTGTACTCTGCCCTTGGGTTTTTACGTCCAAGATGCATTATCTTGCACTTATCCACATTAAATGTCAGTTGCCACAATTCTGACCATTTTTCTAGTTTACCTAAATCATTTGTCATTTGGCTTATCCCTCCTGGAACATCAACCCTGTTACATATCTTAGTATCATCAGCAAAAGACATACCTTACCATCAAGACCTTCTGCAATATCACTAATAAAAATATTAAAGAGAATGGGTCCAAGTACAGATCCCTGAGGTACCCCACTGGTGACAAGTCCAAGCTTCGAATATATTCCATTAACTACAACCCTCTGTTGCCTGTCACTCAGCCACTGCCTAACCCATTCAACAATATTGGAATCCAAACTTAAAGATTGCAGTTTATTGATAAGCCTTCTATGTGCAACTGTGTCAAAAGCCTTACTGAAATCTAGGTAAGTAATGTCTACTGCACCAACCTGATCTATAATTTTAGTTACCCAATCAAAAAAATCAATAAGATTAGTTTGGGATGATCTCCCTGAAGTAAACCCATGTTGTCTCTGATCTTGAAATCCATGTGTTTTTAGATGTTCATCAATCCTATCCTTTAACATGGTTTCCATCACTTTCCCCACTACTGAAGTAAGGCTTACTGGCCTATAGTTGCCCAACTCCTCCCTATTACCTTTCTTTTAAATGGGCACAACATTCGCTAACTTCCAATCTTCTGGGACTACTCCTGTTAACAATGATTGGTTAAATAAATCTGTTAATGGTTTTGCTAGTACACTACTAAGCTCTTTTAACAGCTTTGGGTGTATTCCATCAGGTCCCATTGACTTATTTGTCTTTACTTTTGACAGTTGAAATAGAACCTCTTCCTCTGTAAACTCACGTGTAATAAATGACTCATTTATCCTTTTTCTCAACTGAGGTCCCTTTCCTTCATTTTCATCTGTAAATACAGAACAAAAATATTCATTGAGGCAGTCAGCTAGACCTTTATCCTTTTCTACATACCTTCCTTCTTTTGTTTTTAATCTAACTAATCCTTGTTATACTTTTCTTTTCTCATTTATGTATCTAAAAAATGTTTTATCCCCCTTTTTTACTGACTGTGTTATTTTCTCATCTGTATGTGATTTGGAAGCTCTTATAACTTGCTTAGCCTCTTTCTGCCTGTAATGGTATTTATTAATTAATGACTATACATCATAAAGAAAGCATATTTGGTGTAATGCTTTGGGGGCACCACTAGGGGGAATGTGTAGGAAGACATGTGCTTCTGGCAGTGACATCACAGGCCAGCCTACTTACACTGAATAAAAACCAGATGTAGGAGAAGCTCTTTCTCTTTTTGCCTGTACCTGACTGATCATGTAGTACCAGCCTTGTAAGTAATATGAATCCATTGTAACATTTAGCAATTGTAATAGCCTTTTGTATAATATTTAGCAACCAATAGCTTTTTGTGTAGTATTGTATTGTATAATTATTGTGGTAAATTGACATTCCGCTAGCATCTGTTTATTTATTATAGTTATATTAAATATACATTTAATATTACAACGTTTTGTGTATTTTCTATCCACATATTCGACCATAATACCATGAATTATAAAAATATTAATGTTGTTCCGTATTGCTTAATTATTATGTAATATGAATATTAATGTTCATATTTAAGTCACGACCACAACACTGCCTAATCTTATAGATCATTTTGTCTTCCTCACTCTGGGTTTTTTTATAATTCCTAAATGCTAACTTTTTGTTTTTAACTATTTTGGCCACA